CCATAAAACTATTATACCTCAAACACTCAACACACACACACACACATATAGAATTAAAATACATATAAAACAAGTAACAACATAAACAAGTGTGTGTGTGTGTGTGTGTGTGTGTGTGTGTGTGTGTGCTTTTTGTCAGCAATATTTCTCAAAAATGACTTAATGGATTTGGAAGAAAGCTGGCATACGTTTGGACTATGACTCAATTTCGATGTTTAGTTTTGGAGGATCAAGGTCATAGGTCAATGTCACAAAAAATTCCTATCTGTTACCATGAGGACCAATTTTTCACACTATTTTTGCTCTATATCTCAGTCAGAAATTCAGACTTCCATGAAAGTTGATAACGATGGACATACGAATACATTACACCCCGGGTTATGCACTCTACTGAATCCCCCCCTAGTTCATCCTTTAATTGTTAGCTAAGGAAAAACAGTGGACTCACCTTGGGTCTCTCCAGGTGATAAAAACTGCGACTCTTCCAGGTGATCCTCTCCAACAGAAGTGGTCTGAGAAATAAGAAAATCAACTTGGGGGTAGAGTGTTTTTGTAAAGACAAATATAACTAGAGGTAACATACGAACAACCGTTAAATTAACTAGTCCCAAACAATGACAACACCATAAGCTCCAGTGTAAATTTAGTGCTGTACCAGTTAACTGAAACTTTTTAATTTAACTACATTAATAAACTTAACAGTTCCAACCACTTTTGTTTAATTTGGCTGTATCATCATCTTCTCTGCTTGCTCATTAATCATTTCAAATATGTAGCACCCCCACCCACCCCCAAACAGCAATTATTTTTACAAGTTCTCAGTAATTCCTATACACTGAATCTGAAAATGATATCCATTTTTCTCCATCATGTCCAGATTTTTCACAGCATGTCATAATGCAATACATAAAAAAAAAAAGACCACAACATGTAGTTTTGAGACTAAAAACTTAGATTTCACAAAACAAATCGGGATGCATATTCATTTGACATCAATGTTCCTCCCTTTTCTTTAGTTTGTTTATATTTTTGTTAACAAACATAATAATAAAAAATGTTCACTGTGGTAAACAAAATAATAATTTGGTCTAAGCAAGTTTTTTTTAGTTCCCGATTTGTAAAAAAAATCCTTACATGATAGAAAAAAATTAATATTATTTTCCAAAAATATGCGTAGCTGAATTATGGAAAATCTATTATTAAAACCAATTACGTGACAATTTGTATTGGCTCATTAAGCATCTTTGATCAAGCTTACTAGAGAAAGAAGTGGACAACTACAAAGAGTTTCCCAATCATTTAAGAAAACAAGATATGGGTTTATACTTTTCTAACAAATTACTTGTTCCGGATCTTCAAGATGTCCTGATAGTACCCCATACAGAAAAAACAACACCGGACAACAAAAGAACTGAGAAGACTAACTTTACTCTAGCAACGTTTATCATCACACAAGCCAAAGCAGGTGAGAAACAAAGAATTTTTGAAACAAGTCCACTATTAGTGTTACCCAACACCTGTAAGAAGAAGAAATATTATCAAAATATAAGCTTTCAACGAAAAAAGTCAAATCATTCCAATAAGGATGATTTTGAAAAAACAGAATGATTATTTTCTCTGTTTTTCCACATTTTTGAACCTTTTGAAATTAACTTTTTTTAACTCTAATTACCAAACAATTTACCTGGTAGTCATCTGCACGAGCATAAAGATTTTTCGTGTCTTGCTGGCTGCTCACGTCCGAGATAAGGCCCGGATGTTTTAAACTGCTGGGTTCTGTTGTCAGGGAAGAAGACAAAGTACTGGCCGAGAGATTGTGAGGTACCATAGCCATCCCAACTGCTTGCTGTCCGTGGGTAAGAGTAACGGGGACGTAAGCAGAATACGTTGATGCCCCTCCAGCCGGGTGTAGCATGTTCTGTATTGACGGGTAGTTCTGGTTCGTAAACGTCTGTGTAGGGATGGGTTGCGATGGATCAATTTCTGAAAGCAAAACCTGACCAACTTGGCTATGTTGGAGTTGTGTGACCTGGACCATCGCAGCATTTTCCTCCTGTGCTATATGACTCTGTGCTTGGTGGTTGTCTAAAGTGTGCAATGCAGTAGTCCCTGCTGGATACTGAGAAGGATGGTAGACCATAGCCGGTGCTGGTGCCATTGGGTGGGCAGCAACAACAGCTGGATCCATGTGTGGTGCTAAAACACAATATTTAATGATACAGTTTGGTTTATTCCACACATTAACTTCGCATCGTCCCATCTACAATCATTGTAAAAAATTAAACATTATTGCTACTAGCATGGAGAAGTTCAACATCGGTACTAGCCAACACAATACTATATTACCTAATAGTTTCAAACTTTGTACGATAGTTATATTACCAAAAGTTATATATTTTTTTAAAAAGTTGATGTTATTCAATCTTGTGTTGTTTTATTACAAATTTAAGCTATAATATTTTGTAATTTTATGGCATTTATTCAGCATAATTCCTCAAGAAAAATTTTTAAAAAATTTTCATATTTTTTATTTTCACACAGCTGCAAAGATTTTTTTTTGCCTGTAAATAAACCACCTGTCCTTTTTTATTTTTAGAATATTACTTCCCATCTCAAAGAATAACTTCATTTTTGCTAAGAATTTATCATTCCATGAGAATATATTATCCATTTCATAATTTTCTAGCATCCCCCCCCCTTTTTTTTTTATAGGCCTTGATTGCCACATGGAATGATTTGATTTACTTCCTAATGAAACACAGTTTTGAAAGTTTAAATATGATTGGATAAAGCAAGAACTAGTCAATCATGTCACAGTAGAGTAACTATACAGGTTCATAACTAAGTTGTTTGCTTAGGAATTGTGTGTTTTACATTATATCTGTTTGGAAGTTACGGCGACATCAGATAACTTGAGATAAGGTACGTTTATACAGTAACAAAAGCATAACATTTGAAAAAGGTTTTTGCCACCATCGAGTGTTAAGTAGTATACGTAGAAAGAGGAATAGCATACAGCATGAAACAAAAGCTACATGAACGGAGATTAGTTAAAGCTTAGTAAAGTTATCTTGTTCATGTTTGGATCTTTGTTTTAAATTACAGAATTTTTAATATATATAGTTTTTTGGAGTTGCAATATTTGTAAACACAAGTTTTTTTTATTATGTTCACCAAATGAAATCAGATCATAATAAAATATGTTCAGTTTAGTGAGCATGATAGGAAATTGAAAAATATTCTGATGACTGAAATCCTTATTTATTAAATATTATCCATTTCAAACAAAGTAAAAGAAAAATTGGCTAATTGGATACATAATTATCATTAGTTAAGGTAGTACATAATAGTAGGGATTGTGATGACACAAAATGGCAGCCATCAAAATCACCTTTAAAATGTCTGAATATTAACAATGACTATTTCACCGTATCGGCTGAGCTTACTGTGCTTATAAAAGCCAAAATTACTATATAGGTGTACAAGGAGTAAATCAAAATTTAAATATTTCAACAAATTTTCATCTAAGTAAGTGACTTTTCCAGACAAGCGTACAGAAAAAATGATGAACCTTATCACTCTACTTCTTTCACAGAACTCTTCCATCTGGGGTCCCAATGATTCCTTTCTGGTACCGAAAAGGATACTAGTATATATAAAATGGACGATGTGCTACTGTGAGCATAATTAAATTTGAGGGTAGGTTGGTAGAGAGATCCTGATGAGTAATAAAAAAGAATCCGATATACACACACCCAATGCTTGGTATTGCTGGTGCACAAAAACTGAGCTAATAAAAAGGAAACAAACAAGTACAATAAAAAATGTTTAAATCTTATAAAGACAAGTAGGGATCAATATATATACGTAACGTAGCTAGCTACAGTAATATAGAAAGTTTTAATGATACAAAAGTATTGAAACAAGAAAGTCAAAACTATAAAACTAAACTACTTAAAAAAGTTAAAAAGTACAGATAAAATTTTTGAAATTTTAAGTAACTAACTTTTTGTAATTTTGACTTTCTTGTTTCAATACTTATTGTAACATTAAAACTTTCTGTATAACTATAGCTAGCTACGTTACATATGTATCGTTCCCTATCTGTCTTTATAAAATTAAAAAAAAAAAATTATTATTATTATTATTATACTTGTTTCTAATTGCAATCATATGTTTTACATAAAAACATTACCTTATTGGTGATAATAAACCAAACATACTTTAGTAATTAATTATCAACTTATTTGATTTATACAAGATCACAAGGGGAAATACTGCATATTTTTAAAACAAACAAAATGGTGACAATGTGACTACCAAGTGGGAAACGTTATCAGATGAACAATAAGTGAGAACACGGCCATTATAACTGGATCTGATGTTTTGCTTTTATTTTAGAGTTTAGTATAGTGAATGGGATAATCTAGATGAACCGACAGCACCTCTTGTCCTTACATTGTATGTATAGTCAATTTGATTCATATTTAAAAAAAAAGGTCGAATTAGACATCGAACAAACCTACATTCAAGATCAATCTGAGACTCTTGAAGAAAGTTAAAGTTTCCTTGTCCAGAAAGAACTTCAGGCAGAGGTTTAGTTGATGGTGGTGCAGGGGCAGTTTCGCTCAAATACACAACTTGGCCTGATACATCACCAGTCTTTACCTCTTGTTGGGGGTGATCAAGCTGGACCTGAAATTTCAAGCCAATAAAACTGTGTAAACTGACCCAACTTACAACTAAAATGTCATAGTTTACAACAGTTTCCCAACCTCTGGTTTTTTACAAAAATCCCATTGTTCGTATTTCAACCCTTTCACTTACACTTCTTTTTTAGTAGGTTTCTTATTACTCTAAGGACAACGGTACAAAGAATTAGTCAATCAATTTGTTTTTATATAAATTTTGCTATTACAGTGAAGTGCAGGTTTTGAAGCAACTAGTGGATCATTACCGAATTCTGTAACAGTTTTAAAGGATGAGCTGTCCGGTTTATTAAAAATGTTTTATGTTTAGATATTTCTACACATGTAGCCAAACTTATATTACTCTTTCTACATCAGGAAAATTTTCTATTCATTGTTAACTATGGTATTTTCAAAGAAAAATACTTGAGACACTTGACAGCAAACTCAAGATGTTCCATTCAGATAGAAGCCTAAGAATCATACTTAAAGGAACCATGAACTATGTGTGGTCCTCGTGAACCTATGTTCATAAGTTTTGTTTGATATTGATTTTTTATACTTCCAATGACATTAGGTCCATCCATAGAGATTTGCTCTACATCTTCAATCTTAGGGTCAATTAAAGCTTTTTCAGGAGTCAAGAGCATTTATTCTGTACTATGGCAAAAAATGTTGATTCAAAATAACGTCTATTTTCTAAACCACTGGCATCACATGTTCTTACATGTACGTCCATATCATTAATACCTTTATAAAACAAAACAATCTATCCATCAAATTCCTATATTTCAGCAGTCAACAGTGTATCAAAGTGTGGTGCTTTGTTTTGGTCGTACCACATGAAACCCCTGATACCCAAATCGCCTTGTTTTGGTCTCACCACATGAAACCCTTGATACCAAATCGCCTTGTTTTGGTCTCACCACATGAAACCCTTGATACCAAATCGCCTTGTTTTGGTCTCACCACATGAAACCCTTGATACCCAAATCGCCTTGTTTTGGTCTCACCACATGAAACCCTTGATACCCAAATCGCCTTGTTTTGATCTCACCACATGAAACCCTTGATACCCAAATCGCCTTGTTTTGGTCTCACCACATGAAACCTTTGATACCAAATCGCCTTGTTTTGGTCTCACCACATGAAACCTTTGATACCAAAATCCCTTTGTTTTGGTCTCACCACATGAAACCTTTGATACCATATCCCTTTGTTTTGGTCTCACCACATGAAACCTTTGATACTATATCAGCACCCAAAAATGCAAGTTTCAACACATTACTAAAATCTTCTGGTGAATAGTTATGAGTAGTAGGAAGTTTCTAACTTAAATGTCCAAAGAATCTCTGCTTCCAAAACTTCACTTTTCAAAGGAATAAATACTTAACAAAAGTCCCAAATTAGCATCGATTACACCAATTTTAACAAAAATATTTGAAAACTGTGATAGAGGTATTGTCATAATACCTTTAAAAAAAGGTAAACATTTTAAGGTAAACTTTTCTCCTATCTTAAATAAACCCCTATATAAAATGTCTGATGATTATTACAAATTTATATGTTGATTTTTTCATAATAATAATACAAAAATTTTAAGCAGTGCTCAAGATTGCTATTAAAAAGTTCAAACAAACTTGCCCAGGACACAAAAATAACTGGCTACGGCTCTGATCTACGCTATTCAATAAAACAAATTAAGGTCAGCCACAACGAATCATTCTGCCAAGATAAATTTCCCTGAATGAAGGTGCTACAACGGTCGGTTAGTGTCAGTTTACACATTTAGACTATTGTGTAAGTTACTTCTTGACAAATTGTAGAATTACAGAAAATATTTTTTACTTGATATTTCTGCACAGCTAAAAATAGTCAAAGGAAAGAAATTATCTACAATTCTAATTATCCTCAACTTTTACCAACTTCGACAAAATGGTACTTTTACTGACTCATATGATGAAATCAAATTCCCAACATTTTAATGCCTTTTAAAAATGCACAAGAACACCTTGAATATAACACCCTACCTGGTGATTTTCTCCCAAAACATCTGTTCTCAGCTCTGTCTGTGGGTAGTTTTCTCCTACACTGTTATTGGGTTCACCGGATTCGTACTCTACAGGATTTACAGTTTCTTGATTTTCCTCAGTCTCTTGAACAGCATCTTTATCTTTATGATCGAAGTAGCCAGATTCATTGATCGCTGTATGATCGAAGTAGCCTGATTCATTGATCCTTAACAAGAGATCTTTTAAGTGTTTATCTGCACAAACTATTAAGGAGACTTAAATTTGCGATGGAAATATTCTCTGGAAACTTTTATCCCCAAATACAAAACACACGATCACTTTTCAAACTTTACCCTGTATAAAGGTTCGTGTACTTACAGCCTACATCAGTCTACCCTAAAGTAATAAAACCTTACTCTAAAAAGAAATCAACTCTCAGCCTGCCCTGAAAGGAATAAAACACTACCCTGTATCAGCCTCTCTACAGCATACCCTTCAGTTATTATGTTGTTTTTATAAAGTGATCTTTACAGAGTACATCTACCCCTTCAGTTATTATTATGTTGTTTTTATAAAGTGATCTTTACAGAGTACAACTACCCCTTCAGTTATTATTATGTTGTTTTTATAAAGTGATCTTTACAGAGTACAACATTTCTACAATCAAGAACAAGACAGGAACTATGGTATTAGTTTTAGTATTTTACATAAAAAAAAGCTATTTTTTTTTACTTTAAGAATGTGTTACAATCAAAGATAATGTGAATGTAAGGCTGCTATGGTAAAGATTGTTTAATTTGATGTACAATGATGCAAGTAATGTAAAACATTAGGCAGCCCAAAGATTACAAAAACACAGACATACATATAAACAAATCAAATGTCCTACTACTCCAAGGTTTCAAATAATAATAATTTTGGAAAAGAAGAAAGTTAAAAATATCAAATGATTTTAAATTACATTTTGCAAGGCTTAATTTCTAATTTTTGGTTTCCATATACATGCTCAAAAATTTAAAGCAATTTGAAAACAAAGAATTAATGAAAAAGTCATATAATAATGATTATCACAGCAAGACAAAGCAAGCTAACATTGCACAATGATACAAATCTTAAATAAAAATAATAATGTTTCCATTTAATAACCAACACTAAAAATTTAGCATATGAAAAATGAATAGTCGATTAAGGATACACGTTGTTCCGAGAATTTCTTTGTTTTTTCCTTCAATCAGACAAAACATATGATCACTACACGTGTTCAACTGCTCTTCAAATGGAATGACCTCTTCTTCTTCTGACCCTCTGTCTGGTGACAAAAGCTTGAAGAGTTCATCAAGGTTGTTCACGTCATCTTCAGTTAGTGTCTGTATGTAAGAAAAACAAATTATAAAAACAATATGGCTATTTCAAGAAAATTCTATTAAATTTTCATATTTTACAGAAACATAAACATTCTATACATGAAGTATTAGAATGTTTATACCTTTATTAACTTTTATACAGTTAGGATACATGTATATAACTCTTATCTCGACTAGTGAACAGCTTTCAGGTGTCGAAAACAAACCTGTGTATCAAATTTCAAAATTTTAAATACAAATAACATTTTGTCATTTTTTAACATCTATTTAGTGTTATTTGCAAATGCTAATTTAAAAATTTCAATAACACAGTTCTGAAGAGCACCTGTAAACAACGCATTTATCAATTTAAGAAAAATATTTCTGCCTTGCTAAAGCATTGGTTTATATTAGCTGAGAATATATCTTAGTGCAAGAATATAATTCTCATGATTTTGTTTCTAATGTGATTTTTTTCCCCCTTTATCTGATTTTATTAGTACAGCAATCACACCTTTTATGACTTCGCAGTAAGTAATCTGAAAAACTACCAACGAAACTGCTTTGAAGATAGATACAGGCAAAATTTAAATACTACTGAAAAGAGCAGAATATACACTATTTACGACAATATGCAGTAAATAAATTAGTGTGAGAGTAATTTCTGGTTTCATGGGAAAGTGGTTAGATGTAGCTACTGCAGACAACAGATTTAGTGTGAAGTTTAGAAAACTTCAGAACAAACCAGAGACCTGGGAATTTTCCTACAGTTTCATCTTTTCTTTTTGTCATTCCTGAAAATGTTTCTGTGTTAAATTACATTTACTTGAAACCCCTGGAAACTTTCTTCAATGAACATAATAGTTAGGCTTAGAGAGTATGGTGGATGGCATCAATAGTTAGGTTTAGAGAGTATAGTGGGTGGCATCAAAATATTCCAGTGATTCCAATTCTTACATATTGAATATTATCAAATTTATCATATTCAAATAAAATATATATAATACAAGCTGTATTTATTGGATATAAATTGATTTCAACCAAGAATATCGTGAGCAAAAATATTGTTACCTAGCCTAACCTGACGCCACTGTGACAGGTCACCGATAAACCTTTGTCAGTTTTCGATGTTTCTCACTATTTATAGCTGCAAGTGGCGACTACTATAGTTGGCAAAATAAATTATTGAAATAAATATGCTAATGAATATAAATCAATTTCAAACTGATTGCATATATAAAATTGAACTTTTGACCATTGATAAAAAAAATGTATGCTAAAAAGAAAGAAAATATTCTTAATGTTCTTTTTCAAACATTGTTCGACAAATCTTTGGAAATCATATAATGTAGAAAAAAGTAAATCAAAAATTTCATGCAAAAGTGGTTAATGAATTTCCATTATGAATATGGAAAAAAAAAAGAAGAAATGAACGACAATGAAAACTCACCAATCTGGAAAAAGTTAAGATATTTAAATAAGAAATCTCAAAAATATTTAAAATTAAGCTTTCCAGCTTGTGTAAAGACACTGAAAACATACACAGTAAGTAAAAATAATAATAACAAAGAAATATAACATTTTTACAAATTTGATCAATGTATCTTGCTTACAATAGCTCCATTTGAACCTGCTATGAAGTCATTTCGAACATCTTCAGCATCCATTCTGTTTAGAATGTCCTGACAGAGAAGGATTTCTTTTATCCTCTGTACCTCCTGTTGTTGTCTCTCCAACTGCTCTCTTTTGGCCACTTTCTTCTGATGCTTTGCAGCCTAAAAAAAAGGTATTCTCTAAGAATATCTAAATCTCATTAAAATTAAATTTTTATTTTATGAGGTATACTGAACTTTTATTAATCAAAATAAAACAAAATAACGAAGGATCATATAGAAATAATCTTACAAAGACTAAAACACTAGACTACAGCTGAAACGATCCATGACGTCTGAAGGATCACACAGAAATAATCTTATCAAGACTAAAACACTAGACTACATGCATGATGTCTGAAGGATCACATAGAAATAATCTTATCAAGACTAAAACACTAGACTACATGCATGATGTCTGAAGGATCACATAGAAATAATCTTATCAAGACT